GTGCAGAATTATTAGGCAAATGAGTATTTTGACCACATCATCCTCTTTATGCATGTTGTCTTACTCCAAGCTGTATAGGCTCGAAAGCCTACTACCAATTAAGCATATTAGGTGATGTGCATCTCTGTAATGAGAAGGGTGTGGTCTAATGACATCAACACCCTATATCAGGTGTGCATAATTATTAGGCAACTTCCTTTCCTTTGGCAAAATGGGTCAAAAGAAGGACTTGACAGGCTCAGAAAAGTCAAAAATAGTGAGATATCTTGCAGAGGGATGCAGCACTCTTAAAATTGCAAAGCTTCTGAAGCGTGATCATCGAACAATCAAGCGTTTCATTCAAAATAGTCAACAGGGTCGCAAGAAGCGTGTGGAAAAACCAAGGCGCAAAATAACTGCCCATGAACTGAGAAAAGTCAAGCGTGCAGCTGCCACGATGCCACTTGCCACCAGTTTGGCCATATTTCAGAGCTGCAACATCACTGGAGTGCCCAAAAGCACAAGGTGTGCAATACTCAGAGACATGGCCAAGGTAAGAAAGGCTGAAAAACGACCACCACTGAACAAGACACACAAGCTGAAACGTCAAGACTGGGCCAAGAAATATCTCAAGACTGATTTTTCTAAGGTTTTATGGACTGATGAAATGAGAGTGAGTCTTGATGGGCCAGATGGATGGGCCCGTGGCTGGATTGGTAAAGGGCAGAGAGCTCCAGTCCGACTCAGACGCCAGCAAGGTGGAGGTGGAGTACTGGTTTGGGCTGGTATCATCAAAGATGAGCTTGTGGGGCCTTTTCGGGTTGAGGATGGAGTCAAGCTCAACTCCCAGTCCTACTGCCAGTTCCTGGAAGACACCTTCTTCAAGCAGTGGTACAGGAAGAAGTCTGCATCCTTCAAGAAAAACATGATTTTCATGCAGGACAATGCTCCATCACACGCGTCCAAGTACTCCACAGCGTGGCTGGCAAGAAAGGGTATAAAAGAAGAAAATCTAATGACATGGCCTCCTTGTTCACCTGATCTGAACCCCATTGAGAACCTGTGGTCCATCATCAAATGTGAGATTTACAAGGAGGGAAAACAGTACACCTCTCTGAACAGTGTCTGGGAGGCTGTGGTTGCTGCTGCACGCAATGTTGATGGTGAACAGATCAAAACACTGACAGAATCCATGGATGGCAGGCTTTTGAGTGTCCTTGCAAAGAAAGGTGGCTATATTGGTCACTGATTTGTTTTTGTTTTGTTTTTGAATGTCAGAAATGTATATTTATGAATGTTGAGATGTTATATTGGTTTCACTGGTAATAATAAATAATTGAAATGGGTATATATTTGTTTTTTGTTAAGTTGCCTAATAATTATGCACAGTAATAGTCACCTGCACACACAGATATCCCCCTAACATAGCTAAAACTAAAAACAAACTAAAAACTACTTCCAAAAATATTCAGCTTTGATATTAATGAGTTTTTTGGGTTCATTGAGAACATGGTTGTTGTTCAATAATAAAATTAATCCTCAAAAATACAACTTGCCTAATAATTCTGCACTCCCTGTAGTATAAAGGATGTTGGTACCTCACAAAATTCTAAGTCCACTACTTGGACATGTGAGTAGACCTTAATGGAGCTTTACCTATCCATTAGTGAAGAGACGAATTTGACCGAAGGAGGAGAAGAATCGAGATGGTGCTGACAAAAGGTTTGGGGTACTGCTGAAAGATAGCAAGGCAGAAATTAGTCTATAGCCACATCAAAATAGGTGATGGCTCTGTAGCAATCTGAGCATCATAGCTGATGTGCATCATGTGCTGAATAAAAAAACACTTGAAGCATGATAGATAATGGAGGGGGGATCTATTTTGTAATCTTTGATCTATTTTTGGTGCTGTTGGACAAGAGGGGAAGAGCTACCAATTAGTGATGCTGCTATGGATTAACCAAGAAAGTCTTAATAGTGAAATATTACCCCAGGTAACATCTTAGACTGGTTGGCTGGTTAGTGCAGTGGTAATGTCATTCCTGTAGAACTAGGAATCCTAGTTTTGCATCCCAATCAGTCCCTGGGAAAGACATAGATATATATATATACCTGCCTCAAATCCTCCTAGTTTATTTGAACAGGACTGTCTTTACCTCTAATATCCCCTTAGTAAATTGTGAAATAAGTTGGCACTATATAAATTATAATTGAAAAATTTGAGTGCTCAGATATTGCGTATGCATGTTTGGTATAATATATTGCATGCCTACTCGCCTCTAAAGCATTAAAGAAAGAGTCTGAAAAAAAATGTTGGTGACTTTTAAATTAATTCATAATGCAAAAATGTCATTGCTTTTTAATAATAGTGCATTGAGTCTTGTTGATTTGCAGTCTGCTAAATGTGCAACTTGTATCCCTTGTGTTATAAATCCACAAACTTTGGTACCCTTTTCTAAATTGACCTCCATATTTCATTTAGAATTATTCCCACTTTAGAGTTATAAAGCATAATGCTACTTGCAATAAATCAATCAGGATCTCACAGCTAAAGCCATGTGTTTGATATCTAGGTTTTAGCTTTATACATTTTTGCAAAATAGCACAATCCCTGTGAAAAAAAGTGTATTTTTCAGGACAAAGCAATCTAAATAAAATAAAGTTTCATTTTGAGACCACATGTAAAATCATGTCCAGTATTCACTGAGTATCCCAGAAACACTATGATTTGGGATTGGTAGCATATCCCAAAAAGGCAAAAATGCTACACAGACATTGGAATGTTATACAAATGACCAAACTACATTCATTTATACAACAAAATTGAATTAGACTGGGTTTTTTTAATTGAAAATAGACAAAAGTGAGCATATCAATTATACAGTGACTAGAGAACACGTATTCTATAAAAGTATTATATATGCATTGAAGGCACATACAACTGTAGACCCAGTTGAGATCATAATGTGACTGTTTATATAATAATATGTTTACCAGTAAATGTTATAATCCCAGTATATGTGTTATAAGCTCACAATAATGACGGGAAGCAGTGCTTCAACTGAAGTCCTTAGTTCCAATGGAGCAATATTAAAAATAGAAGGGACACAATCCAAATATAGTGTAGTATTTTAGAATATCAAATATGGCAAATAAAAAAAGATTGTACTTCCACTTTTCTGGAGATCAAGATCAGCTCCAGATCACTGCGCCTGGACGGTTCAATCCCCGTCTGTGGATATGTAGATAAGAAACTCTGGTTCGGAAAGTTCGAGCTGCTACAGATACAAAAAGCAAGCGCCAGCAATCTCACTCTTTTTCACGTTGTTCTGGAACTGTTAGGGAAAGAGTTCATGAACACGTGACGTACATTAAGGTGCGTAAATGATTTTGTTTTCCAATGACTTGTTATATACAGTATCTCCACAGTATAAATGTAAATTGATGCAGAGTTGCAGACTATAACTTAAAATACAATCCGGCATCGTTAGCCAATCCATATCATTTTATGACTTTCAGATGCCCACACAGACACAAATAAATCACAATTCAATATTCATATATCATTTTACTGCTGCTAATTCAACACATTTAGATATTATCAGCTGTAAACTGGTCCTAACTTGTGATTTCATTGTTAATCTTGCATTGTTGAATTCAGTAGATTGGTATAACATGGTTAATGCCCAAAAAAAACCCCGCAAACAATCCTGACACGTTTCGATTACATCATAAGTTGGAAGATACAAATATCCAAGTTGATTGATGATGCAAAAAGGTAGCTGTGTTATTGACCTATTATGTCCAAGTGAAAATTGCTGTGTGTTTGTTTCTTTAAGGTGCCACCAAAGATAGAAGTATGTAAACACAGCCTTGACCAGAAGCAGGAACAAGTCAAGAAAACCTGTATAAAATATGAAATAATAAAATAATAAAAGTATTAACTAAAATTTTAAAACTGAACACAGCATCAAGCTTTTAAAATTAAATAAAAAAGAATCAGGTCTTTGAAAAAGTACACTGATGCATGGCACACACTTGCCATCTTTGTTTTCATGTTTATATTTTTTAAAATGATTATATATATATATATATATATATATATATATTTACCCAACAAACAGGGAAGTGCACTCATGGGATTTGCTACAGAAAACACATCACTGCTTTATTTAAAGAAAAGCAGGCTATAAGGCCATAGCATACATCACAAAGGTTCAGTCTCACACAAAACTTTCATCAGATTTGTGTGAGACTGAAATATTGAAGTGTATGCTATCGCCTGCTTTTATTTTTATATATATATATATTTAGTCTAACATTAATTATTATTTTTATTATTTATATGGTGCAAACTCAGTCCACAGTGCTGTACAATGGGTGGACTAACAAACATGTAGTTGTAACCAGACGAGTTAAACGCAGAGGAACAAAGGGGTTGACGGCCCTACTCAATGAGCTTAGATGCTAGAGGATATCATAACCCTCAACAGGGTCCTGTCCCACTGCCCTGCTTTAGTTCCTTGGTTTCCCGCACCCGAGGAATGCAGGGAGCTGTCCATGGACAGCACAGCATGTGCGCATCATTATACATGCTGGTGCACTTGGACCATGAAGAGAGGGATTTAGCAGAGCTCCACTCATGCTCCTGTCAGTAAAAGGCTGGTCCGACATTTTGCCAACCCCTGGAACTCCTCAGGTTCATAAATACACAAGCATATCCACAACATGCATGTTTCTATTTCTTAGTAGAATTTGCACATTTTAGACAAAAATAAACTTAAAAATGCATGACCTTGAAAATATTTCCAGCATGCCTATTTTGGTAAAAAATAAATAAATTAGCCTCTGCTAGGGGGCGGAGCTAGCAGCATTCAGGTGCAGACGCCATTACACAGAGCTTCGGGGCCCAAACCTCAAAGCTATTAAATCGGGGAAAAGCACGACAACCCGCAGAGCAAGCAGTACCTGCAAATTGGGGAACATGCATCGAAACCCGTGGATGCCATTCCAGTTTACAGAGGGCGCAAAACCACGTCGCCGAGGACTCCAGGCCTGCCACATGGCAATCCCCGGCAGTCTGGTACAGTCTCTTGGCTTAGCGATGGCACTGGCACACTCTCGCCTCCTGTGACCGCCTATCAGACTAGACTGGAACCACCAATGAGGCGCATGTCGCAGAGACTGACTTTGGCTCCGACCAGCAGTAACCATGACATAGGCCAGATGTTGGCCTCCACCTCAAAAACCCAAGGGAAAACACCTCAGCGGCATGAACTGCCATTAGACCCCACTACAAAGGGAGCAATTAAGGCAATAGCAAAAGCTTCACCCGGAACAGAGACACCAGTTACAAAGCTGGACATACACGATCTCTGAAAACACTTTCAAGATATGTTCTCAGCTGAACTAAATATGGTTAAAACGGAGGTGCAAGCTGTGACAGACAGACTACAAGCTACCGAAGAAGACATCATAGATATAAAGCAGGGCATGACCACGCAAGTCGAAGCCATGAAACACATGCATAAGTCTCAGCTTGCGGTAAGAATGGATGCAATGGAAGACAAGGGCTGACGGAGGAATATCAAAATCCGAGGTGTAGCGGGCTCGTTTCCAACAGATGAAGTACCTCGATTCTTAAGGAGGCTACTATCCTCTATATTACCAGCTAAAATCTCCAAACTGTTCGTGTGTGGCGGCCTATACCGCCTCTCAACACCCTCCACAGTCCTGTCTAATGTCCCACGGAACATCATCCTCTGCTGCCAAACCTTTGCTGACAAACAGCAGTTACTACGCGGGAGAACACCGCTTTAATTTGAAAGCCACTCACTCACCTTCTTCCTCTGGCGCAAATCCATGCGCTGCAGAAAGCTGGACTGACTTATCAGTGGACATATCCTGGGGCCCTTATGATCACTATGGAGGGGATGACCTACAAATTGACAGGGCCATCGGAGGGCCAGAACATCCTGCAGGCCCTGGGCCTCTCTGAGACGCAATCACCTCAGCCCACCAGCCACACCTGGGATGTCTCTCGAATAGCTCCATTTGTTCCTGGAGGAACCAAAGACTCTGTGACACGAATGCTTTCAACCCAGTATCACCAATCCAATCAGATCTCATTATTACTGTTTTAATATTTAAGTTTTATTGGCAATGTTTGAACTTTTAATTTCTAGTTTATAACTGATGAACCTGCTTACAGAGCTATCTAATAGCTAAACACCATTCACCTGCTGCTATCGCATAACAGACCTTAACACTGACAGATGCGACTAATAGTCCCACTGCTCCTACTGGTACTCGACACGTACACACTCTATGCAGACTCTCCCCCACCCCCCCTCGCCACCCTAGAGGTTAGGGGTATACATTTCTTTAGGAGACCTTGGCACCACTATACGACCCACACTAGGGCAACTAGAAGCTCACCCAGCTACACAATGGAACACACTCCCATGACCAACCTACTCATGCAAACCTCCTAGGTTTACTTGACAGTTAACTCAACATGAAGCCTGCAATATCTCAGTCAGCTTCACAGAACCTTAGAATCAGTGCACTATTCACATGACCTGTTATTCCTGACCACTACAAAGTTGTTTCAGTATTAATTAAAATGTGCAGCTATTCATATACGCCTTGTATTATACTGTCATCAACATTCACTGATGCTGTTGGGGCATAGTGAACTGCCTGTTATAATGATGCAAAAAATTAGCCTCCGCAATAGTTTAAATGATATGTACCATCCTTGTATAACACAGCCCATTGTAAGGCTCATATTACAACTTATTAAAGGATCCTTAAACTCACATAGGTCACCTCATCTCAGTTAGTGGTGTGGGTGCAGTCATCCTGTCACCATTCAAGATAAAACTTTGCCATTTTACAGAAACAGCAATGTTTACCTAGACAGTTTTATACACACCTTCCATGGCTTTTACACTGACAGCCAATGCAGCGACTGGGTAAAATTTGGTCATGTGACATTAAATCCCAGCAGAGGAAAACATTGATTCAATAGTTTATTATGGGAAAGCTTGGATTTGCGTGCACATGCACATCAGGTCTTGTCTGTGAGAAGCATTTGTTTGGATGGCGTTACGGGAGGAGAGGTAAGCAGCATCGAGGGAGCCGCGGTGCAGGAAAAATGTTTATTTAATTTATTATTTTCATTTTTATGGCACACACTGGGTGACCACTTAACTACGGTCAGGAACATTAAAGAAGGTTTGTTTAATGTTTTAGTGTTCCCTTAATTCAAATATTTGCATTGTTATTTGCCAAACTCCAAATGTAGCAAATTAAAATGGCAAAATCAAAGAAAAAAAAAGCTGATGTGGAGGAATTTTTCAACTCAGCAAAAAGTTGATGTTTTTAGCCTAGATTCACTACAATTTGGGGTTAAGTGAATAACCCTGTCACTGATTACCAATTACCATCCTACTTGAGTATATTTATTCCCTGTTTAAAATAACTACAATGTGAATTATATGTAGAAAATAGACCACAGGCATATATTTCACATGATCTGTGTTTGTCAGCCAAAACAATCCATCTTACAAGACTAGTTCTTTAAACACACAGTAATCATAACTCCCTTCTCTCTTCTCAACAGAGATGGAAAAACGCCATGAGTGTTTACTGTGCTCTTGATGACAAATTACAGTGAGTGTGAATTATCACTGCGGCAAACAAGATTTCCCAGGGCTCATCCCTGTGTTTAATGATAGATGTTTGCTATGTGTAACTTTAACTGACATGGGAGGCAACACTTGCAGACCCCTGCAGTAAAGAGGATGATTAAAACTAAAGATTTCTACAGTACAAGTAAATAAATGTTAACAATCACTTTTTCCCTCAGCCGTAATGATTATTTTTGTAACCTAAAATCCTTCCACTATATCATCCTGAAAAAATAAGTATTTTGTTTGCTTTTTCTGCTTTTTCATTTTTTTAGATTTTCTGATAGAAATTTTAGATAAGAACAGGGAAATGACTAAAAATAATTATAATCAGAATATATATATATATATATATATATATATACATATATATATATATAAAATTATGAATTATAACATCAAATATTACACATTATAAAACGTGAAGTTACATGAATTTATTCATTAAATTATGAATTGTAACAAATCGAAATGAGAATGACAAAAAATAGGCTAAGATAGTCAAGCTGTGGCCTTATCTGAATTGGAGAATGTTTGAAAATCTATTCGCAACATGCTACCATTTGTATTTGAATTCTCTGCAATTTACAGTTTAATGAATTAAATAACCTTACTGTACATATGTAAAATAATTAAAAAGATGTTATCCTGGAAGTTATATTCTGTATAGTTCTTTACTAGATTTATTGTCATATTGTTGAGACAAGCCAATAACGTAAATCATTGTTTTATGTTATCTTTGCTACTTTGAGTTAATTTATGAACTGAGGAGTCAAACTATACATTCATGGCTGTTGATGCTACACTCACATGGTCTTTGGAATTCCATCAGTCTTAGTAATATACGTTCTACATCCAGGCATATTTAACCTATGGGAAAGTGAACACAAAAAACAATATAGCAAAAATACCACTAAACACTAATATGATAAAGATCTTATCGATTGAGGTTTACGTACAAATACAGACAATTATATTTTCCCCCTTGTGTCTCAATGGTATTTATCGCAAACCTATCTTATTTGGTTGTAAAATAAGAACAGGAAGGTACACGGTTTGGACAATTTATTCTCACATTGATACTTAAAATTCTTTTAAGATGTTTATGAATGTGTTGCCAGTAGAAGATTTCTAAAAGTGGGGCGGTGTCCATTGAGACGATGGGATTTTCTGATTGATTCTATAGGATTCCAATATAAAGTATCTACTTTAAGAATTTTGCCACACATTTTTTTTTTTTGTAACATGCTTATTAAATTCTTCCCTTGCGTGTTTGTGAGATCATTCATATGATACCAATACAAATACAATATAATTCATCATATTGTAGTGCAACACATCATCTTAAGAAATGGTCTACTTATTGTTACATATAATTTGGGACCAGATTCAAAAACAATAATTTACAGATGCAAAATTTTTTTTTTTTTTCATTTTGTAACATCTAAAGCATTTACATCAATTTCAAGCAGGATTACCTTTATAAAAATGTTCATGTTGTGCTATATTTTTCAGTAAAAAACAAACAAACATTTATAGCCTCACATATATCAGGTTTGTAACAAATTTAAGGGGCTCTTCTACGCTACTGGCCAATGCTAATAGTTATTCTAATACTATGTGACATTTATGGCAAAAAGAATAGTTCTTAAGTTATATATATATATATAAAAATACTATTTAAGCAAGTGAAAACATTAAAACTATTCTCACCAATTGTTTACCAGGTGCTAATAAGTGGGATTAAACCACTGCATAAATGTACACTTTTATCATTTTTGGAATCTTATACTATTTTGCTTTTTACAAGTGTAAATGTATACAATGTTTTTGTTGCAATGCTCTTCCTGTTTCTGGGAGTGATCAGGGTAGAAGCCCACATAGAGACCCTACTGTAATCAGTTAGGGATCCCAAACACAGTTATATAGTTACATAGGCTGAAAAGAGACTTGCATTCATCAAGTTCAGCCTTTCTCAATATGTTTTTGCTGTTGATCCAAAAGAAGTCAAAGAACCCAATCTGAAGCACTTGGGTTGGGCACTAATTTTGCAACAAACTAGGAAAAAAAATTCTTCTTGACCCCAGATTGGCATTCAGATATCTCCTTGGATCAAGCCGCTATTTCCTCACTAATTAGAAATGATTTCCCTGAAAAATATGTTTTTGCAAGTATTTATCCAACTGCTGTTTAACCCCTTAAGACCGCAGGGCGTACTATTACGTCCTCTAATAGGCGGCTCTAAACGCCGCCGGGCGTAATAGTACGCCCTCCGGTCTTTCTGTACTTACCCGGTCGCCGGCGGTCCCACGCCGGCGATCGCGGTGGGGGGGACTCCCAGGGAGCCCCCCGCGGCACGACCGTCCTCCAGGAAGCCCCCCGGCCGTGTGAGAGTGGGGTCCTAGCGAGGACCCCACAATCACATGGCCGGGTATAGCTGGCTTCTGTATTGCCAGCAGGGGGGCTGCCTGTAATTACAGGGGGTCCCCCTGCTGGCTGAAAATAAAAGTAAAATAAGTTAAAAGTGTAAAAAAATAAAATTATATATACTTAGATCATATATATATATTATATATATATGATCAAAGTATATATATACACATATACATACACACATGTACACCGTCTAGGTGTATTTTACTATTAATATATATATAATTATATATATATATTAATATCAAATTA